CGTCATTAAATATATTCTTTTTCTTCTTTTATCTCTCATTTGTGCACCAACAATATTGTTGATTCAAATATTTTTGTATACTAGAAAAAATTATAGGTGTCAATTTATAATTTATTTTAAAAATAATAAACTCTTTTTGTAAAGTAATTTTGTCTATTTTTTTATCTTACTTTTTTTTTATATATTTTAAAAACAAATACGCGTACCATACTTGTACACGTACGAACGCACGAGTTTCCATACGAACTCACAGTTTATTATAATTTTTAGTTAGACAATTTTATCTTTTTTTTTCATTTTATTTTTATTATATTCTTGAAAACAAATGCACGGATAACACACCATTACTGTGTGAACACAGTAACCATAGCAAAATTCGTGCGAATGCACACGTTATTATATTTTTGTACAATTGAAGAAAATAAAAGTAAAAATATTTAAAATAATGTATGAATCCAAACACGAGAAAATGTGTTATTTTTTGTAATTATTTATGTATCTAATATTTTTAATTTAAGACACAATATTTTTAAAAATAATATATAGAAAATTAAAATATATATTATTAATTAAAAACAATTTTAACAAAACAATTTTGTTTTTATTAAATAATATGTTTCTTTTAAAAATAATCAACTATTTTGGTAAAACAATTTTATTTTTATTATTTACATTTTTATTACATTTTAAAAATATAATCGTGCGTACCACTCTAGTATCTGTACGAATGCACGGGTATTGATATGATACATGCATATGATAGTGATATTAAGATATTGATTTAAATATTTAATAATAACGAGAAAAAGTTTACTATTGATTTAAATATATTTTGTATATACCAAAACAAAAATATTTATATAAAAGAATAATTAAAATGTTAGTTCAAATATTTTTATATACGAAAGAAATTATAGAAACAAATCTATTAACTCATTTAAAAATAATAAACTATTTTGGTTAGGAATAGTAAATAAATTATTTGATTTTTCTTTATTTAATCATAATAACTTATTTCTTTAAAATTGAACATAATTGACGAAAACTTAACATACCACAACAGTACCTAGTACCCGTATAAACACACGTGTACTGATATGATATACGCAAAATATCTTGTTTTTTAATTATTTATGTTACTGATATTTTTATTTTGAAATTGTTTTTAATTTAATATATAATATTTTTAAAGATAATATATGAAAAATTAAAATATATATTATTGATGTAAAAAAATGGTAATACAATTTTATGTTTCTGATTTACACTTTTATTACATTCTGAAAACAAAATCGTGCGTACCACTTCAATACCCGTACGAACACACGAGTACTGATGTGATAGCACATATGATACTGATATTAAGCTATTGATTTAAATATTTAATAATAACGAGAATAAGTTTACTATTGATTTAAATATTTTTTATAAATAATTTCAAAACAAAAATATTTATATAAAAGGATAATTATATTTTTAATTCAAATATTTTTATATACGGAAGAAATTATAGAAACTGATTTATTATTTATTTTAAATATAATAAACTATTTTGGTTAGGAATAATTAATAAATTATTTTATTTTTCTCTATTTCATTACAATACCTTATTTCTTCACATTTGTAAATAACTAACGACAACTTAACATACCACACCAGTATTCGTGCAAATACACGGGTACTAATATAGTACGCGCAAAATGTATTATCTTTAATTATTTATGTTACTAATATTTTTATTTTGAAATTATTTTTAATTTAATATACAACACTTTTTAACATAATATATGAAAAACTATATTATTGATGTAAAATAATTTTGATAAAATAATTTTATGTTTCTTTTAAAAATAAAAAACTTTTTTGGTAAAACTATTTTGTTTTTCTGATTTATATTTTTATGATATTTTGAAAACAAAATCGTGCATACCACTTTATTATCCGTGCAAACACACGAGTATCACACTAGTTTAAGGTTAAGCAAGTTTGTCAAAGTCGATATCTTGTGTGTTTCTTGAATCACAAGTTAGAAAATTTAGGACAATGTTTTTTTAACTTAATTCGAATCAAACATATGATCAATTCGAATCAAACATCAACTTGAAAATTGAATTTCAACCCAGACTATTTGATTTAAATCAAGGATATATGTGATACAAATCACATCATTCCTTGAATCGAATCACAAGGCTTTATGTTTCGAATCATGACAATTAAACTTTTGTTTAAAACAACTATAATTTAAACCATGCTTTTGCTTAACTCGAATCATGAATACAAATCATGATTCAAATCAAAATGTTGACCTCCTCATTTTACTACCTTGATTTAATCACTATTTTTATTGATTCAAATGATAAGTTCATAATTTGACTCAAATTATTTTGTCTTTTCTTCATATATTTGTGCATAACTTCTAGCACCTATATAAATCTTTTTTTTTTGTTTGTATCATTTCAAAATGATGTCTCATAACGAGATGATGCAAGTCATTTTTCATAGAGAGATTAATGTGATCAAATCCATATTTTCACAAATCTTGAGAAAAACCATGAGAGTTTCTATTTTCAGTAACATTTTTTCTCTTTGATTCAATCTTGTGAAAATTTTCCTAAAATGTTGATATTGTGAGGTCTAAGTTATGTTGTGTAAGACTCTTTATGTAAGCTTCATCATCTTCAATCTTGAACCAAGAAACCATTGTTGGGGGATGCTCAACTCTAAAAACTGAGTTTGAGTGGTAAATCCAAGATACATTAGGGAAGATAGTGTTTTTTGTGTAGTTTTGTTGTGTGTATCAGAAAAAATAATTATTTTATGTATATGATATCTGAATATTTGACATCCATCAAGAGAAAAATTTATTTATTATACTGCGTTAAAGACTTTAGTAGAATTGAGAAAAGGTTCTCGTAGAACAAAGTTAGGAGTAATTCAATTATTCTTGTGTAGAACAAACACTAAGTAAAGATCATTGCGGAACGAAAGTTTGAAACATGATTTTTATGTCTAGTGAGATTTTTATATCAAGATCATTGTAGATCTTGAAAGTTTACAATTTGAGTATTCTGCTTCAACAGAAGGGAAAGTCACTTCAGATATGTGTTGGTTAAAAAAATTGGCTTGTAATATTTAGATTATTGATTATTCGATGCTACAAAAATAATTGTATATTAAATTTGCAAATTGTAGAAGACCTACAATTTTCAATGATGAAACCATTGAAGAGTTGATTAAGCTCTAGCAAAAACAGATGAACTGAACTATTATAAATTCGGTGTACATTTTTCTTCTCATAACATTTTTTATAAAATTCGTGTCAATATCGATGCGGTGCTTATTATATATAGGAAGCAACTGGTATAGAACAAGAAATTTTGAATTATCTATTATTATAGAACAAGAAATTGTGAAAATTATTATATATATTTTTTTTTATTTTCTCTCTTTTCCTTTTGTTGTTTGATTATAAAATGTGCAAATGGTATATCATATTTCTTTATTATAAATGGCTATCTAAAAGGTGGAAAGGGCTACGAGTTATTGGAAGTGGAAACTGGATGATCAATGTTCATCAATCGCAAATGTATTATTTTTAGTGAGTCTCGTCAAGAGAAGAAGAGTAAAAACCTGGGGATGAAACTTTTAGAAATTATGGCAGAGAAGACTCAGTTAGAATTAGAGTTTCTTATTACGGATACTAGTTGTAGTGAGGGAAAAATTACATAGACCTCTTATTATCATTTCACTAATGATAATTTAAGGAGGGAGATTATATCATCTAAAATAGACAATTATGTTGGTCATAGGTGTTATGTTTTCAATGTGGTTGTAAGGTTGTAAAAATCATAAGTAAGGACCTCTAGGAAGACATTCGAAAGGAATGAGAGTCATAGATAGTTGAAGAACCATGTTTGCGGGCTTGTTAGATTACCTAAGCAAGCAAGTGGATGCAAATGGCAAGATCAAGATTCAAGTGTGGTTTGAATTTGATCAAAGGTATTATTGAGAAATGATTCAACATGACAGAGAACAGCAAAGTGGTTGATGGATAAATTAGCATCACCGCAGGTAAAGGTGGAAATTGTTGAAGTATGCCTCAAAACTTCAAATGATAAAGAGAAGAAAAAGACATTTTCTAACATGATTGACTTTTGGTCAAAAAGTCATCGATCAATGTTTGATTTGGTCAAGTGTTGACTTTATCAATAACTCTTCCATTTTGTTCTGGTATCATTTCTGAGAGTGATTTTTGAAGCTATTGTGTGTGAAATCAGATTGTAGAGTCCCTAAAAACATTGTCATTACAAAAAGAAATATTTAAAGGTAAAGATTTTTCCCCATACAACTCTAAACTAGACTTAATTTAGGAATTGGTTGAATACTATATACATATTTTAATTAAAAATCTAAAATTAAAATTATGTGTGACTCTATGTTTTATTTCCATTAATGTACAAGAAATAAATTAGTATGATAATGAAAATATTGTTTGAGAGCAAGAATTTGCATTATATTATACGGTAGCAATTTTGTTAGTATTAATTTGTTTGTATCAATTTTAAGATCTTATTTATTTGAATGGTGTGTGATTGATAGTGCGAGATTGTTAATATGTGTCGAAATATTTTGACATGTTATGTGAGAAATAAGAGATTGTGCATGAGATAGTGACACTCTAAACTCCCCGGCAGAAAGGAACTACCGAAAGGAATAATTGAAATATCATGAATATGATAAAAAAAGTGTGTTGAAAAACAAATATTTACTTAAAGAGTTATGGCAGGAGGATTTTTGACTCTACGGAGGAGAAAGATAATTTTGTGTGGAGTTCAATGATTTCAGGATATACCATGAATAATAGAGGAGAGTAAGCTGTGCGTTTTTTCAAAAATACGCGTAGAGAAAGGGTGAAACTTGATCAACATGTGTTATCTAGTACTTTGAAAGCCTGTGTTGAAATAGAGGACTTGAACACTAGTATTCAAGTGCATGGCCTAATGATAAAAAATGGGTATCGGAATGATTGTTTTGTGGCAAGTGTGTTGCTGACTCTCTATGCCAATTTTGGTGAACTAGGGGGTGTGGAAAAGTTATTTAGAAGGATTGGTGATAAAGACATTACAGCATGGAACTCTATGATCTTGGCTGGAGCTCGTCCGGGTCACGGATCTAGTCATTCTATGCAACTATTGCAAGAGCTTTGTCAAACAACCTTATTGCAAATTGAAAGCGCCACTTGGGTTGCTGTCTTGAAGTCTTGTGAGAATGAATCAGATTTAGTTGCAGGTAGACAAATTATGTCACTTATATTGAAATCAAGTTTGGTTGGCAATGCACTAGTCCACATATACTCTGTGTAGGCTAATCGATGATGCATTTAAAGCTTTTGTTGACATTGAATGGAAAGATGATAGTTCATGGAGTTCTATTATTGGAACTTATAAACAAAACGACATGGAATTAGAAGCTTTAGGCCTATGCAATTGCAAAGAGATGCTGAATGAAGGAGTCAATTTTACAAGTTATAGCCTTCCACTATGTTTTTCAGCTTGCTCGCAACTATCAGCTATATGTGAGGGGAAACAACTCCATGTTCTAGCTATCAAGTCCGGCTACAACCGTGATGTCTACGTTGGCAGTTCCATTATAGACATGTATGCTAAATGTGGGAACATTGAGGAGTCAGAGAATGTTTTTAGTGAACAATTAGAGCCAAATGAAGTGATTTTCAATGCCATGATATGTGGATATGCACATCATGGAAAAGCACAACAGGCCATAGAAGTATTCAGTAAGTTGGAGAAGAACTGTGTGGCCCCCAATCATGTAACTTTCTTAGCTTTGATGTCAGCTTGTAGCCATGCAGGCTATGTAGAAGAAACTTTGCATTTGTTTACATTGATGCTTGACAAATACAAGATTAAGCCAAAATCTGAGTATTATTCGTCCCTGGTTGATGCCTATGGTCGGGCGGGAAGGTTGGAGGAAGCTTACCAGATAGTGCAAAAGGATGGAAGTGAGTCGGCATGGAGAACATTACTTGGTGCTTGTAGGAATCATAATAACACAGAAATTGGAGAAAAATCTGCCATGAAGATGATAGAAATGAATCCTAGTGATCATGCTCCGTATGTTCTTCTTTCAAACATTTATAATGCAGAGGGAAAATGGGAAGAAGCTATTAAATGCAGGGAGAAAATGGCAAAGATTCATGTGAAGAAAGATCCAGGAAATAGTTGGTTGGTTTGAGGAGCACTGAGAGTCGATGGGGGAAAGTGTTCATTATCACCATTATTTTTGGAGGGCATTAAAACAAACTTTGGATGCAATTTTGCCAGAGTGTCTTATAAAAGATGGCTCTGATCACATGAACATGAACATTCTTGTCCTAAAATTTTGCCGAGTGTCTTATAAAAGATGCAACGGAATACAATAACTATAGATGTAAATATATGTTGTTGCACTTGGCAAATACTGCTTTTTTTCCAAGAATGACCATACACAGTAGTATGAATGCTGCTGGCCTAATAGACAACCTTTGTTTCAAGAAAATAACATGCACACAGGCATAAGTCATTTCCAAACCTTGTTTGCAAGAACAGAATTATTACCAATTGTGTAACATTTTGCTTTAATGTGGGGGTTGTTTTTACTTATCAAAGTCACTGTAATAACATTTACTGTTCCTTTACAATTTGCGTCGTGCCGCAAAATGTTATTGAAGCCATATATGCATGTTCAAAAACTACAATTCATTTACCACTTTGTTAATTGATAGTTTGATTCATATAGCAATGATCCTGGTATGACATTCCAAAATTCTTTAACTGTACAAAGTAGAATGAGAGTAACTGTAAAGAAATATCTTCCTACAATACTATATTTAATTTATACAAAAAAACTAAATTAGAGAAACGGTGATATTTTCGATCTAAAGAAGACGTAACGTAAGACATTTTGACCATTAATCAAAACTATAATTAGAACATTCATGTTCCATAACCACACCCTTCCAAAGTTATAAATGGATATAGAATGCCCATTTCATCAAGGAGCTATTCTGCTTCAAAAGAAGAACAAATCCAATCAAGAGAAGAGATTATGGAAGACCATTCAGAATATCAGCTGCAAAATCTTATCAATCATGAAAAGCTCAAAGTTAGACCCAGGTTATTGAAACGGTAACACCACCAGAGCTGCTTTGTTTTGTTAAAGAATCTGCAAAATTTGCGAGACTGGTCAAATTTTTTTTCATATGAATAACCCCAAAGTGACAGTCACAGTAGAAACCGTTAAGAATTCCCTGTAACATTAATAGGTGATATAGCAGAAAAGGGAAAAAATAGCACGAATAACTAAGATCTCGTGTGAGACAATTATATCATAGAGAAGGAATGGGTGGCATAAGGGCCTTAAATATCAACATGTTACAAATATACAGCTACTTGGTTTCTTTTGTTTCTCAATGCATTTCCAATGGCTCAGATCACAACATTCTTATCCTACAATTTTGCCGAGAGACTCATGATCAATTGCCTAAAGGAGCACAATCCGGTGATGTTTGACTTAGTGATAGATCAAAAGATGTCACAGTCATGGAGATGCCACCCCTTTCACAATGGGATTAAGGACCTGAACTACAGATGTAACATTATTGAACTGTTGTGTACGTTCATAATTTTGTCTCGGCTCTTGAACTTGTGTGATGCATTATTTTGGTCTTTGTAAAGATCGAATATACTATTCTCTCAAATCTACAAAATATAACAATGAGTCATGAACACATACTTGTATTTTGTTCTTACAAAAGAGAATGGACAGGGGTGACTTATGTGTTAGACAACTGCGTGATGCTGATTTATTTGATAGTCCATGAGGCGATGCTCTTGCTTGTGATGTGAAACTACCCTCAGTTCAAAATGCAGTCACTGCTGATAATACATAAAAAAAATAGTTAGTTTAATTCATATAGTAATGATCCCAAATGCATGTTACATAAAAAATGTATGGTAAATCCTACCCAACATTCCTTTATTATATAGTTTCTACCTTAGAAAGTACTCTTCATTGCACAAAAAGGTGATTGAAGAAATATACATATAAAACGCTCCGACCAGAATGTTTAAGCACGTAGCAGAGTAAACAAACATGAGACTTATCAAAGAGAATAAAAAGCAACATAAACAAACATGAGACTTATCAAAGAGAATAAAAAGCAACAGCTTCTATGGGTAGGAGACAACTCAATATTTTCCTCTGAAATCTTGTCATCCACATTATCACCCAAGTGCTGCTGAACAAGCTTGAAGAAATCACTCGGCGTTATCCAATCATGAACTAGTTACGGATAACTAACTACCCCTAAATACATAAAACATATTAACAATGTCACCCATAAAATCCTAAGACGGCCCCTGCTAGTTGAAATGGTAACAAAATCTGGAAAGATTAAGAGACTTATCAGAAGCATTTACTGTAATATAAAATCCCAAACTATGAGTTACAAGAAAAGACGTTATATTACTCCCACATTGGTAAAGTGACGAAAAACATAAACGTTTATATAACCGAATGAAGGCAACAATAAGCACGACCTTACTTGAACAGGATCTGTTCTATAGGCTCGTACTACTGTGTCCTTGATTTCAAAGGAGACAGGAACATAAGTCTGGTGGATGAATCAAGACCGTGTGATCAGAGCGTGATTAACGGCCAAGATGATCCGCATGTTGTGGTCATCATCTCAGCAGTAGATGATCGTTCTCAGTTGGTTACACTGACTGGGGTGGTCACACGGTGATCTGACAGACTCTCAAACCCTTTTTTCTTTAGCAACAAAATCGATTTTCATAACAAAACAACAAACCCAGTTTTTTGATTTATTGAGAAAGGAGTGACATTTTTATTTTTATTGTTTACCTTGCTTTTGCTTCCTCCCTCTTCAAAGAAAGACCCAAGCTCAAACGTTTACGGAAAACTGCTTTTGGTTTCTTCTCTTTTTACAGAAGTGCTTTGAAGGTGGTAATGAACTTCAACATTGTCACACGTTTTGGGCCTATTACTTGAACAAACCCTCTTTCAATTAAATATACTTTTTTTTTTATATTTTATCTTTTTAAAGGATTTTGAGTTTTCTTAAGCATTATTGAATTTCATATTTCACTATATAAGGTAAATAAAATTAGACTTTAAAAAATACATAAATAAGAAAATAAATTTCTTTCCAATAAAATTTTATAGAGGCCATTATTTAAAAGAAAAAATACTAGAGACAAAATATAAATTTTAAAATGTTAAGATTGTTCAAATTTTTTTAATTGAACAATTAAATATTGTTTCCTATTTATCTTTTTCCTTCGCAAACATATATAACTTATCTTTTCCTTTCTGAATCTTTCTTTTTTCAAAAATGGCAATTGTCAGAGTTAGGCAAGCGGGGTAACGTGATTAAACCTTTCAATAGTATGAAATTTATGAAATCATATGAACACAACATGAAAAATGTCAAGCGATTTGATGGAACAATCGACTATAGCCTCCTTGAATTAGGGATGTTTAAGAGTTACGATAGCACATCCGATTCTAGTAGTGATAGTGACCTTTCTTCCTGTTTTTTCTTAGAAAATCCACAATTGTCAATTATAACTAGCTCATCCAAGCGTTCAAGAGTGAAAGATTTCAAATTTTTCTATACCTCGAGAAGAGAGTGGCCTCCTTGAGAAAAACCTCAAACCTCTCTAGAACGAGCGACGAGGGAAAGGCCATCATGAAGCCTTGCTTCAAAAAGGAGCAAACTAACATATTTTCCCAAGAATATTCGTCCCATACCTTCTTCTATATGCATCTTCTAGTCGTCCATGACCTTGGAGTGCTCATACATTGACTCATTTTAAGTAAGAGGTTTTAGCAACCATTAATGTTGCTCCCTCTCAAATAACTCTCAGTGGTCGGACCTTTGAGATTATCTACCTACGCCTAAAAGTTAACCCCATAATAGGCATCTTTTCTCCTTTTATGGTACTAAGATAGAGTCAAAATGTGGTTGGATGAATCTAGGCGCTCTTTCAGAAATAATCATATTCATTCCCACTCTAACCATTATAAGAATTTAAAATATAAGTTTGCAATGATGAGTGGGAAAGATGAGATGTATGTGGTTACCATCAGGGAAGGCGACCCCTACTGTTTCCCCTTATATTGGACGAAGAGTCTCATCCTGGAGCCTTGCTCCAAAAAGGAGCAGACTAACATGATTGCCCAAGAATACTCTTCCCATGCCTTCTTCTATATGCATCTTCTAGCCGTCCATGAACTTAGAGTGTTCATACCTTAACTCATTTCAATTAAGAGGTTTTGTCAACCATTAATGTCGCTCCCTCTCAAATAACTCCCAGTGGTTGGGCCTTTGAGATTATCTGCTTGCGCCTAGAAGTTAACCCAATAATAGGTATCTTTTTCTCCTTTTGTGGTACTAAGATAGGGTGCAAAGGTGGTTAGGTGAATCTATGAACTCTTTCAGAAATAGCCATATTCACTCCCACTTTAACCAGTACAAGAATTGGAAATATAGGTTTGCAAGGGTGAGAGGGGAATATGAGATGTCTGTGGTTACCACCAGCGAAGATGATGCCTATTGTTTCCCCTTGTATTGGATAGAGAGTTATGTGGCCTTAAACGACTTTGACTTTTAAGACCTAACAATTACATAGAGAGAGGGGTTAAAGTTCTAGACGAGTTCAATACTATGAGCTCTAGGGAGATTATGGAACTCGACCAGACGAGGATTACAAAATTGATGAGTACTTGTGTAATTTTGATTTCTGTAAGTGTTCTTAATTAGGGGTTTCTTATCTCTAAGTGATTATTATTTCTTTTCTTTTTTAAGATTGAATGTCTCCCACGAATGTTGCTGAGAGGAAAGCTTGCCTTGCAAAGAAGAAGAAGACTACTTGGTGCGAGAAATGGACTGTCAATCCAAAAAGCCACATTGGCAACATCATGATTATGGGTAGAAAGAGAGATGATGGGGATGTCGTTGTGAGTCTCATGCCTATTAAGACTATGTAACATGAGGGATTTGGAGGAGGTTCGATATCAAACCAATATCAAAGGAATAAGGATGTAATGCTCAGACTAAGGGTGACTACAAAAATGGATCGCCTATTCGAGCATAGGTTCCCAAAATCAACTTGGAAGGCATTACAGAAGTACAAATCCACAAAAGTGAAGCACTACTCCACCATTACTTC